TCGCCCGGTTATTTAAGCGAATCTGGCCTTCCCATTTGACTTTGCCTAGTCAGAAGGTCGCAAAAGGGGATCACACAAGACTTTGGGGGCACAGCAACGGTCGTACATGTGAACCGGTTGCCAAGCGTCTGTACTTGGATCACACGGTCACGGAGAAAGCTGCAAAGGTCGTAACTGTGAAAAAGGTCCTAAGCCACAATTTTCAGTGCCGTTGTAACTTCGGAGAGTCAGCAAAGAACTGTTGTAAGTTGAGCACGACCTGTATTGCAAAATTCTTTAGCTGAAGCGGCATTCTCTTTTTTTAACACACACACACACACACACACACACACACACACACCTTCCCTGGGCAGGAGAGGAATCAATTGCTAGCGAGACCAACCCCTTCCTGCAATGCATCGTCAGACTGAACAAATACTGGCACAGCTTCTGTTTCATTTTTGCAGTGGGGGAAAAAAAAATGAGAGGGAAATGTAGAATAAGTGATGCCTTTGGTCTATGCTGCGGAATTGGATTTCTTTCCCTGTGCCGTTCTGGAACACTGAGTTCACCAAAAGAAAAAAAGCGGGTCTCAAACAAGCGGTAACCATGGAGATTATTTTGCACCTTGTAACAAGAATGTGTAGAGCATCCCGTCCAGGTGTGAGAAGCGTCTGGGATGCAGTCAAATCCCCAGCAGAGGTGGTATTCAACTGGTTCTGACAGGTTCTGGAGAACCGGTAGCAGACATTTTGAGTCGTTCGGAGAACCGGCCAATCCCACCTCTGACTGGCCGTAGTCCCATCTCTTCTCTGCCTCCCATGGAGTCCCAGCTGATCGGCTGGGTCTTCTTTGGTTGCCCTGCACAGGAGAACGGAGCTGGAAAGCAGGTTAGTGGGGTGGGAAGGGAATGGGGATTTTGCAGTATCCTTCCCCTGCCATGCCCACCAAGCCAGGGTCACCAAGCCACGCACACAGAACCGGTAGTAAAAAAAAATTGAATCCCACCACTGATCCCCTGTAAATGGTTTGTTCATTCTAGCTGCCATTTTAGGTTGGTGCAACCTTTTAAGAATGCTGACTTCAGGAATGATAAGATGGCTTGAGAGCGGGAGTGAATCCCGCCTTTCCTCAAAAGAGGGAGAGACCTCAGACACAACCTCTCCCCCATTTCCCCCTCCCCCATTTATTTTTTTATATTTTCTCTTTACATACAATACATGCCTGGTGAACAGCGTACTGTCTGGGTCAGTTGGTTACCTAATAATACTTTTTAAAACTCTAATTTCTACCTCTGCTATCCAACCATTGATAAAACAAGTCCCATGTTCTAGGTCAGGGGTCGGCAACCCACGGCTCTGGAGCCGCATGTGGCTCTTTCATCCGTCTGCTGCGACTCCCTGTCGCCGGTTGGCTTCACAATCGATGGGGCTTTCAGTTAGGAGAGGTAGAGGAAAAAGGACGCTGCGCTAAGACTCTATGTTGGGGGAACTGGACTTCCAGTTGGCAGAGGGGGAAAAAAGGATACTGCGTGAGGAGGAGACTCTATGGTGGGGGAACCGGACTTCTGATTGGCTCCAGAATTGAATGGGGGGGCTTCTGGTTAGGAGAGGTAGAGGAAAAAGGACACCATGCTAGGAGGAGACTCCATGGTGGAGGAACTGGACTTCTGGTCAGCAGAGGGGAACAAAGGACGCTGCGCTAGGAAGAGACTCTATGGTGGGGGAATTAGACTTCCAGTCGGCAGAGGGGAAAAAAAGATACTACGCAAGGAGGAGACTCTATGGTGGGGGAACCGGACTTCCGGTTGGCTCCATAATTGAATGGGGGGCTTCTGGTTAGGGCCTTTGTGGCTCTTTGCGTGTTTAAGGTTGCCGACCCCTGTTCTAAGTAGTTCTCTGCAAACAAGTGCCCTGTTTAGCAACTATTTTGAAACTTAAAACGGTGCTGAAAAAGTAGTTTTACAACTCTTCCTCAAACGTATAACCATGACGGCGTTGCACAGTCACAGGATCGCCATTTGCACCCTTCCCACATGGACTCCGGACAAGCAAAGTCCAGAAAAAAGCCAGCAGTAAGCCAAAAGTTGTGATCCTGTGACTTCTTTGCTTAATGACTGCAGCAGAACTGACATCACAGAAGAACAGAGTTGGAAGGGACCTTGGAGGTGGTCTAGTCCAACCCCTTGCTCAAGCAGGAGACCATATACCGTAATACGGTACATCATGATAATAGGGAGACGAATCCAAGCAAAATTTTTGCCAGAATTAATGCTGCAAAAAAAGGAAAGTCCTGCCAATTATCCGGAAAAGAAAAACAGCACAGATCCACCTGGTGCAACCACGTTTAATGGAACTGCCTTGCTTAGCGATGGAGTTGCCTGTTCCGCTGTTAAATGAGGACTACCTTAACGTAAATAGGTCATGCTGTTCATTACAACTCATGATTCAAGAGCTACAATTGCAACAGTTCTGGGCTGGCATGGGAGTTGCAACCAACCACAAACTATCATCGTAGCCAGACTGCTGGGATGTTGTAACGATACCCAGATGTTTCACCAGTGTATTTGCAATAAGGGACATTCCTTGGCTGCTGATCAGCTTGTCATTTCTCAAGTGAAACTGAGAAGAGGTGTAATGCTTTAGTCCTTCCCTTCAGCGTTATAGTCGCTTGACATCGCGAATATGCCGTTTGCAAAGGGCAGTACATCATGGGTCACCTGTATAACAGGCTTAACAATTGTAGCAATCAAGGATCGTGTACTTTCTAAGAAAAACCAAGTGGTTGATATTGGGCCAAATCAATCAGTGGTCAGATGGTCAAGAAAGAATAATGAAATACAGGTAGCCCTTATGACAACCATCTTCTTTTAATGACCCCATAATCCCTTGCGGGGTGAAGTCTGGGAAACTGAATGGAACTAGCAGAGTGTTTGAATGGCCGGATGCCCTTCCTGTCGCCAATGTGGAATTTTGTTCGGCAGATCTATTCTCATTGTGCTCAGGGAGAGAAATATTTGCCTTTACCTAGGATCGAACTCACAGCTTCCTGATTGTGAGGCGACAGCTCCCCCTCTAGGTCATCGCACCACTCCTTGACATATGACAACGGGGACCAGAATTTCCATTGCTAAGCAAGTTGGTTGTTAAGAGAGCCACACCCAATTTTATCACCTTTTTTTTTGCCCACGGTTGTTATGTGAATCATTTTAGTTGTAAAGGGAATCATGCAGTCGTTAAGCAAATCAGACTCAATCCATTCATCACCATCCCAGCAATTTGTGTGAAGAATGTTACACCTATATATGTTACTGTATGGCGACTTTAAGACTTCAACTCCCAGAAGTCCCCAGCCAGCATGAGAGTTGAAGTCCACAAGTTGCCAAGGTTGGATATCTCTGGTCTATAAACAAGTTTTGATTGGCTGGGAAAAGGGCTGTTAGCTTTCAACTGGGCTGAAAATCCATCCACTTTATTGCTTATTAGCACAACTGAAAATATCTAAATATTTAACAATTACACCGCTCCATAATACATGCATATATGGGTCCATAATGTATGGCAATGTGCGTAATTCCTTCACCTGCTGTTTATCGGAGACCCTAAATTAGTTACAAACAGTGCAACTAATACAAAATAAGTCTCCTTTGATTTAAGCTACATTCTTGACAACTTTACGCACATGTTGTTGTTTTTTGACAACACAACAGATGTGGTTTGGCCTTGTCTTCTTCTGGGATGTTTTGTGACTTCCCAGCTTCGTCTACTGCCTTGGGACTTTCCAGTGTTCTACCACAAAGTTACTAACAAGCTGGGGTTGAGATCATCCAAGGCCAGGATGGTATTAAGTGCCTATGAGTGTTTTATTATCTTTATTACAGTCTTAATAAAGTATAGATATAAGTACTAATGAATGGCAGATTGGTCTTCTGAACGCATATGATGTTAATTTCATGTTGCATTTCAGTTTAGCATGTTGTATGAACTCAGCACCTACTGTAGTTTGTAAACCAAGGTCTTTGGCTTAGTTTATAGCCTGAATTGGACTCGTGAATTGGACCCACCAGATGTTTGCACTTAAGCAACCTTGGCTGATCTCAAGGAAGTAATGTAGAGGAGTATAAGAGATTATGGAGACGTTATGCAGAGACTTTCGGTAAAACATGAGCTCAGTCTGGGGACATTGAGAAAAGGGCTTAAGACTGTCCTCCTTTTGCTTTCTTTGGTCTAAGAGCGAGGGAAGGGAAAACACAGGCTTTCCAAAGTCTTCGTCAATAAAGTACAATTCTACTATTTTTTCTGGCGTTCATTTCCTGCCTTGGCCTTCCTGAAGAAAGTTTTCTTTCTCATACTTTGTTTGCTCAAACTGAGCTGATATGTCACTAATAGTTTAAAGATCGTATGGTTCTAACAAGCTCCACATATCTTCTCCAAAGTCATCTATCTACTCCTGCACGTTACCTAGATAAAGGGTCCCCAAACTTGGCAACTCCCAGGGAGTTGAAGTCCACAAGTCTTAAAGCAGCCAGGTTTGGACTCTTCTGACCTAGATGGAAGACTAGGAAAATATCCCACAGATGTAGGGGAAACTATAAAGAAAAACATGCCCCAAATCCATCCCGTAAGACAGGGTGTCAAACTGGCGTTCTCTGGGCCAGATGCATCACATGTAGGCCACGCCCAGCCCAGCTCCGCGAAGGCAAAAAACGTCACGATACATCATGTGACATCAATGCGACACAGCGAGTTTGACACCCGTGCTGTAAGAAGACAAGGGCAATCCACCTCCATATTGTTGCCCACAAAACATGACCATGTTCATAAAGCCACCAGTAGTTGAATTTGACTCAGGGGAGATCTTACCTTCACCTTTCTGTCTGCCTATCAGGGGTAGTCCATAGTACAGGTCTTCATGCAGGGCCAGGTGGGGCTAATACTTAGGTGGGACATCACCAGAAACCAACTCACACAATTACCAAGAAAACTACCTAGATGTATCCAAGTTCCACTTGATGGAGCCTTTTCCTTTTTATTGCCAACTGTGGTTTATTCAACAATCCATAATCCAACAAGCCATGTTTTAGCTGACTGCTTGGTACAGCAATATAATCACCCCCCCCACTCCATATTCTGCAGTGATATCTCATATTTCATCTAACTTGAACAAGATATTCTGTTGAAAGGCAAATAAAACATTCCTGTAGAACACATCTGAAGAAAAAATTGTGTCTTCAGCTCAGTGCGATGATTAAAGTTGTCTTCTTTCTGTGGAGGACTCAGCTTCCTCCTGATTTTCCTTCTTTGCTCATAATCTTTTCACTTCTCACAACTAGAGTTTAAAACAGAAGCTGGAAAGACTATAGCCTGCTGGCTTCTCCAAAATCATTTTTAATTCACAGAGGTCTTGTAATGAATGAAGATAAGGTCAACTCCTTTAGGAAATGAAGTCGGTCCATCCAACATAACCGCAAGTATAAAATAAAACAGTCCAAAATTTAAATCACGTAGTTATAAAATTAGAAGTACCATCACCGCCATCACCTCAGATATCTACAACTTCTGCTACTCCTGGAGCTGTGCTTCTTAGATCTCAACATGTCCAGCAACATAAGCCAATATGGTTTCCACACGTACATGCTTGGGTGGGTGAGAAGAGTACAAGAGCCATCTATGCCGGTGTGGTCACAAAAACCATTTTGTAAGAATAGGCGAAGTCCACAATGTAGGCAATGAGGTTGAAGAAAGAGAGGAAGGTAATTCCCAGCTGATTGTCCCAAGTGGCACAGGGGATATCATGAGGACTACTACACGAAGGTCTTGGATGGTTCCGAAAGCTGTATACAGGCCATACGACTACCACTGTAAGATACATGAGAACAGCCAAGATGTTGTAGGCAACAAGAGTCTTCTCCACAGGGATGGGCAAGGAACCAAGGCAGCGTCCAATGGTGAGAATGATGATCACCATGGTCAAAATGAAGCAGATGCTGTAGACGGCCACACACCATTCCAGACCAGGATATGCCCTGTAATAGGAAATTTTGTCCAGCAAGGAGAAGATGAGACAAGCTACGTAGGCCTCAAATACCTTCAGGAGGCCAGGGATGGTAGTCAGGAAGTTGCTGAGCTCCCCTGCTTTGGCCCTGGTGAGTCCTACTTCTACTGCATAGGCAATGAAGCAGAGGGAAGACATGACAGTTGCCCCAATTTCATAACCGCACTTGTAGCCCTTGCAGGAAGGTAGGAAGGTTGCTGGGTAGACAATGGAAGTTGTGAAGATCATCAGAGTGGCCAGCATGGAGAAGGCAGAAGTGAAGTCCTGCCAGGAAAGAGGCAGGGCTGCATCCAGGCTGATCAGCTCCATAGTCACCACGAAGACAGAAATGATGAAGCAGAAGCACCACGTAAACATCGACCAAGCCCCATAGTTTCCACCGTAGCTTTGATAGACTGCTGCCAAGCTGAAAGCAGTGCAGGAGAAGAATATCTCCAACAGCCGAACGATCCCCAGGAGAGAAATCAGGGAGCGGCCATTGAATCGAAGGGCTGGCATGGTGACCCCGATGCCAGCCGGGCAAACAGCCCACAGGAAAGACTAGAGATCCAGCAAAGCGTGTCGAGAAGCCGATCAGAAAGGCTGCGTGGGTGCAGCACGGTGTTAATCTAGGCACCGTCCCAAAGTGCAGGAACGCCCAGTTGCGGGGATGGTTGAAGGTCTCAGTGGAGGGTGGAGCTCTCCCATTGCTTTAAGGAGTTTCCTTGAAGCTCTCAACTTTTTGCCAAATGGGCCAGGGAAATGAAGCAGCAGCAGCAGGAAGGGTTGCGGATCTGCTAGCAACCCTCCCCCCACCAAGCTTTCCATGCTGAGTTTCCTCACGGAAAAATGCAGAGTTGATGACATCACTTTGAGGAGTGTTCGCCTAAGGGAAGGGGCGAAGCAGCCCGCCCTGGGTGTCAAGCTGTATTCTCTGGATTGTAGCCTTTCACTGCCAGAGGTTTCTGATTCAAAACAGGAAACGGCTTGTCCAGAAATGAGAGGCAGGTAGATGATTAACGAGACTGAAGTTGATAAGGAAATACCACCTGGCCACCGACTGCACCTGCTCTTAGTGTAGGGAATCAAAATCTTTCAGACCTTCATCCGAAGCTAGGAAGGGGTTAAGGTGCTACCTGTACGATCCAGGTGATAAAGAGATGAAAGTGAAAAAGGGGTTGGGTCCTCCCCAAATGCTACATCCCTTTCTGGATTGTGCTTCTTCCTTTTCAAATATTGCTTTCTAAGTGAAGGTAGAAAAGTCACGTCGTGTTCTAATCAGTCCAAAGTACACCCAAGTTCTGCTCATCGGGTCAAAAGTGATTTTACATGCTTTAGAAGCTTTTTGAAGCACAATTCATTTTAAATCCGAGGATCTTGAAAGACACAGAAGACCATGCCGTGAATTCTGCACTTTTGGATTTGCAGGAGCTTCTAAAGAACAGCCCAAAATATTTGGCAAAGGATACGCGGGCCTCTTTCTCCTTACCATCATGCTCACTTCTAATTTCTTCTGACCCTAGCAATGGAACAGGAGCTTCCATATCTCTTGAAAGCAGCTCAACTTATGAACTTTATCCTAAATACACGGCAGAAAAGCAAGAAACAGTCTTGTCTCTTGTGTGAAACAGCAGGGGACCTGTATAGAGATTCTCAGTCATCCAAGTCATGGTTGTGTCATAGGTGCTTTTTCAGGAGGCAACTGGACTTTGTTTTTTTCTTTGAAGACATTTTGCAAGAAGACATTTTGAAGACATTTTGCATCATCCAAGAAGCTTCTTCAGTTCTGACTGGATGGTGGGGAATGGAAGGATTTATACTCCTTGCAGACAGCTGGTCATCTGCATCCTTTTTAAAGAGTCGTTGAGGCCACTTGGAGATTTATCTGTGTCCTCAGGGTGACCTGAGTGGCGCTCCTGGTTCCTGTAGTCTGCAATTTTATTCCCTCTGGAAACCCATTCCTATTCCCACACCATTCAAAGGGTGTCCATCCCAAACTGTACAGCTAAAAGTCTCAGACACTTAGCTATATAATTTGGGATGAACACCTTTTGAATGGTGTGGGAGTAGGAATGGGTTTCCAGAGGGAATAAAATTGCAGACTGCAGGAATGCTTCAATGACCCTCTAATGACCAGCTGTCTGCAAGGAATATAAATCCTTCCATTCCCCACCATCCAGTCAGAGCTGAAGAAGCTTCTTGGATGAGAAGTAAAAGGTCTTCAAAGAAAAAAAGGAAGTCCAGTTGCCTCCTGAAAAAAAAAAAAGCACCTTTGGGACAGCAGGGGAACTGTTACTAGTTCTACTATGGTGTCATCTAAGGCAGTTCTTTGTCTTCGTCTGGCAACAGTCAGTCTCCCAAAATAGCGGCCTATGTGGACGTTGAGTTTCCCCATGTCCTAGATGAGAGCAGAATGCTCAACGTTGACTCTCAAAGGGTTACACCATCCTTCCCCTTTTCTCTACTAGGGCACATGAATGACTTTCCTTGGCTTGTTCTAACTCTTTATGGTAGCTTTGCATAATCAGCTATCCTTTGGCCTTGCTAATTTAGATTACAAGAATCATAGTCTCGATAGATTTGTAGAACAGTAGATAATCAGTATTCTGTTAGAACAAGGGCCTTCAAACTTGGCAAGTTTAAGACTTGTGCACTTCAACTCCCAGAATTTCCAGGCTAACATGACAGGAGGAGGAATTCTGGGAGTTGAAGTCCACAAGTCTTAAAGCGGTCAAGTCTGAGGACAAATCTGTGTTAGACCATCCTTTCAAAGATATTTCTTTACCTAAACAGAAAAACAGGTAGGCAAAAAAAGCAATGGAGGAATTACGACTTCCTGCCAGTTTCACCGTGGTTGATTGTTCTCCAGCAGTCAATAGTGAGTCTCTACCTGATCACCAGAGAGCTAGGGTGGATCTGATCTACCTGATCTCCAGTAGCTGATGGAGGGGGCTAGTCTACCTGATCTTTGGAGCTCCATTCTACATTGAAATTAAATTGCCCCCAACAAAGGAAAAAAAGAAAAACTCCAAACCTTCTAAACTGGGATTTAATGAATAACTGGAAAGACTCACAAGTTGACCAAGAGCCTTTCGCTCAGGAGTGTCAATGTCATGGAGGGAACAAAAAAAAACCTTGAGCAGCTAAGCAAATTCTGGAAAATGGAAAAAGTTTTCCCAGGTCTCTTCTTCTGCACCAACATGGGACCAGGCTGGAACTAATCTTCTGCATTGTTCCAGACCTGTAGATCTCAGGATGAGAAATATCCAGAAGGAGCATTCCACAGTCAGAAGCTCGTAACTTTGGAGAAGGTGACGCAGGTCTCTTGTGAGAAGATTGCTTGTAATATGCCATTCCTCCTGCTGTCCACTCACTTTCCAGATGAGTCATTTGGGTCTTATCAGTCAGTCCAAGTCACATAGGAAGGTTGGCTCTTCACCTGAAGACCGTATTTGCTTTCATACCTTCTTACTGCTACCAACCTCCAAGTTTGGGACAATCTACAAGAAAGAATCACCCCTTGGGCTAACAGAGTTTGTGAGCTCCATCTTTGAACCAAAGCAAAATCTTCAGGGTCTCTCACCCACCCCATCCCATAAGAGTGACAGGGAAATGCCATGGAGCCTCTAGCTTTAGGATGAAACCAAGGAGAGAATTAGGTGTGGTATAAAGAAGGAAGTAGGTCTGCTAGGGACAGGGGGCTCGCATCCAAACATCTGAAAAGAAGAACCTGCTTTCAAAGGCAGCATGGAGGTTTTCCTGGAAGACGCAGGGAGCTTAGCTGAGAAGCCGAGGTTGCAAAAAAAGACAGCCACGTGGTGCAGATCATGGCACAGAATGTGAAAAAGGTGGGCTAAATGGCCAGCCGTTCCAGCATTGCTCTTCTCCAAGGTGTGAAACTGGATGGAAGACCGATGGAAAGAAAGGTGTCCAGCAGTAGGGCATAAATGCTGAGAAAACACACGAGGGCTACAGAGGGAGTGTGATGTTTTCTAGGAACATTGCTCCAGCTAATTCCCCCACCCCACCCCACCCCCCAAAAAAGAAAAAGGAAGGGGAAAACAATCTGCAGAAGCTACTGGAGGGGTGGTGGGGCTGAGGCAGTGCAGGGGAGACGATGCTGTCCCTGTGGCTCATAGGTGAGGGAGCTCAGTGCCAGCCACTCGCCACCTTTGGCCATCCGGTTGCTTTCATTGAGGCGCTGGATGCGGTATTGTTCATAATGTACACTGTGGGTGATGTCCTTGAGATCCTGGAGGTGAGACCTACAGAGAAGAAAAAGGGGCATCAACCAACTCCTTCCCTTCCTCATCATTCAGCTAGAAATTGAAAAAGCTTCCAGGATAAGAAGCAAAATGCTTTCAAGAGGGGGGAAAAAAACCAAGAAAGTCTAATTGAGTTTTGGAACAGTGTGGTCAACCATGACCTGGGTGATTGAGAAGCTCCATAGACATCAGCAAAAGAGGTTGGAAACCATTGGGCAGAGCAACATCTCAACCATTCCATGAGAGTGTTGGATGACTTTTGTTAAAAAAATATTTAATTTAACAATATCTAATTACTGCTGGAACAGTAAAGAGTATAATGGGCAAGAACGCACAGTTGTAGTTGATTGGTTGGAGAGGACGAGCTCCTACATTATGATTGGGAATCTATGTTATGATTGGTTGCTGGGTGAGAAGGGGGAGTTTCCCTTTTTCCCCGCCTTTTTCTTCTGTATGCTTTCTGTGATTTACCTGATGATTTACCTCATGATATAGTGATGTGCCTGACTATCTTGTTTGCTGTAAATACAGATGTGAAATATATTTATTTATATAAAAGTTATATAAGTTCACTTCAGCGTCTCTGACTTCATTTGGACACCTGTTGCGCAGTTCCCTGATAACTTCCTACCAATTCTCCATCGTTTGGCTCCCAAACGATTTCTCTCATCCCAGAAACTTCCAGAATGGAGTATACAATCCATGACACACAACCCTACTTGTTTCTGATAGCCTCTATATGACCATTTTTGCAAAATTGTTGAGTGTCATGACTTGGGTAGCTTCTAAAGTGAATGGACTCTAAGGGATATATCCGAGCATGAAGATCCAAAAAAAGTCAATTCTGGTAGAGTGTTTGGAACCCACAGAATAACATCTGGCTACCCACATCTGGCAATTCCCAATAGAGAAGGAAATTGATAGCTTTCTGGTGGCCAATGCCATTGAAAATCTTATCCCAGAAAATAAGTCAGTCTGGAAATGAAACTTCAGCTGTAGGACACTCAAGAGTACTTAAAAAAAACAGAATGCCCCTCTTGGCAAACCATAGATGGAAAGACCTGGTCCTTTTAAATGTGCTTAAACTTAAATACTCCATTGCTCCAGGCCATGGTTTTCTTTCTGGTAGACTTTTGGCTTTGGCAGAATTGTACACTTCTCCGCAAGAAGGCGACTGAGGAATCATTCCAGTTGCAAGCTAGGGTTAATTTTTGTTATAGAAGAAGCTGGAACTGCTCAGTTCCCCTGTTTATTTATTTCTTATTTGTATCCAGCTCTTATTATTTTTATAAACAACTCAAAGTGGTGAGCATACTTAATACCCCTCCTTCCTCCTATTTTCTGCACAACCATGAGGTGGACTGAATTGAAAGAGAGGGACTAGGCTCACAGTCAACCAGCTGGTTTTCATGCCAAAGGCAGGACTAGAACTCACTCTCTCCTGGTTATTGGCCCAAAGTCACTCAGCTGACTTTCATGCTTCAGGCAGGGCTAGAACTCACCATCTCCTGGTGATTGGTTCAAAACACCCAGCTGGTTTTCATGCCTAAGGCAGAACTAGAACTCAGAGTTTCCTGGCGACTGGTCCAAGTCACGCAGCTGGCTATTATATCTAAGGTGAGACTAGAACTCCCAGTCTCCAGATGATTAGCCTAAGGTTACCCCACCAGTTTTTGAGTCAGAACTCGAACTCACTGTCTCCCAATTTCTAGCCTGGTGCCTTAATCCAGAGATGAGGAACTATGGTCCCCTTATGACTTGTGAACTTCAACTCCCAGAATTCCTGAGTCAGATTGGGGATTCTGGGAGTTGAAGTCCACAAATCATAAAGGGGCCATAGTTCCCCACCCCTGCCCTAATCACTAGACCACTAGACCGGCTCTTATTAGCTGACCTCATACTACTCAGTTACTCCAGTAAATATAGATCCAGTAAGAAATACTCTGGGTGTCCTCCACAATTTTAGCCCAGAATTCCTGCTGGACATACAGAGTGCATACCAAAGGGAGAAAACTGGAATGCCGAGGAATGTGGCCAGAATGTTATCAAAATGCAGGAGTTGTGGCTCTCCTATTTCCTTTCTGATTGGCTCATTGGGTTTCCAAACACGTTGACTCCCTACAACTCAAAAATGGTTAAGATTCCCGAACCAACAACTTACCGGATTAAGAGATCCCGCAGCAAAGGAAACTCACAGTGAGCTGAGTTTTCCACTGAAAGAGAGAAACACAGAAATGCATTTCGAAGCAGAACCAGAGGATCAGTAGTGGAGTGGGGAGGAATCCAAAGGGAAGGTATGAGGACCAGGGGATTTCTGGGAGCGGGCCAGGCTCTCTGCACCGAAGAGACACAATTGCACTGAAGTGCGCAAACAGCCGTAGCGCTCAGCTAGACAAAAGCAGCATTTCAGGCATTTAAATCAGGGGCTCCCAATCTTCTGGGCAGTTCCATGGAGTTCCAGTTCCATGGAGAGAGGTTTTTGTGTGGAGTTATCTAAATCGCAAATTGTTAAATTAGAACAATAACAGATTTTTAAAGAGGATATAAACTAACAAGATCTAATATAAAGGAAAAGAAAGAAAAGTAAGAAGCCAAAAGTGAACTCCACCCCACCCCAAAGGATAAGAAATAAAACACAGAATTATAGGGCTATAAAAAGGAACTCCGAGGTCATCTAGTCCAACCCTTTGCCCAAGGCAGGATATCTTACGCCATCCTGGTCAAATGGTTGTCTATTTTTTGAAAACCTCCAGTGACAGGGATTTTCAAAAATAGAAGCGACAGAAAGAAGGAGCTTCTGGTTTTCTTTACAGCAATTATAAGGACAAAACCAAAATGAGCTTCTATTCCACGCTTATAAAGACAAGCTCTTTTTTTCTCTTCCTGTCATCTGTTTTTTTTCTAATCAAAAGAATTATAAATCATATTTTTTTTCCTGTTACAGTCAAAATGTCTACAAGGCATTTCTAATTGGCAAGAAACATAGATATTCTCTCTTCTGTAATCAAGGGAGTCCATTTAACCATCTCAGCAAGTTCATAAAACCATCAGTGTTTTTTTTTAAATGAAAACATTTCCCTGCTGCTTCTGCTATTCTGCGCCCTTTACCCTCTCCAAACAGAGAGACATCCCTGCTGGTCTGCCATTCAAAAAAATATTATCTCCAAGGATTTCAGGAAGTGCATAACTTGGTCATCCAAGCAGAAGGATGATGAAGAACAGTTGCAGGAATTGATTACAATATGTCTAATCTAGTAAAAAGAAGGACTAGGGGCGAGATGATACCAATCTTCCAATACTTGAGGGGCTGCCATAAACAAAAGGGAGTCAAGCTATTCTCCAAAGCTCCTGAAGGCAGGACAAGAAGCAATGGGTGGAAACGAATCAAGGAGAGAAGCAACCCAGAACTAAGGAGAAACTTCCTAAAAGTGAGAACAATTAACCAACAGCTTGCCTTCAGAAGTTGTGGGTGCTCCATCACTGGAGGCTTTCTAAGAAGAGATTGGAAATTCATTTGTCTGAAATGGTCTGGGGTAGCGGCCCCCAATCTTTTGGGCACCAGGGACCACTTCCATGGAGAGAAGTTTTCCTATGGATGGGAGGAGACGTGGTGCCTGCATCCCGTGGATGGTGCTTAATTTATCTGTGGAGACCAGTTACTGCATGCAGCGGACCAGTACTGGTCCAGATACTGGGGATGGGGTGACATCAGATCTAGGCAGCAGTGGGGAATCACGGCCTCTTTGTGACTTGTAAACTTCAACATTCTGTGAGTTACAGGTCCACAATTCATAAAAAGATAGGCCATCGTTCCCCACCCCTGGTCTAGGGTCTCCTGCTTGAGGAAAGGGTTGGACTAGAAGACCTCCAAGGTCCCTTCCAACTCCATTGTTCTGTTATTTCTGATTCATGGAGGGTTGGCTGGGTAACTTGCCACCCACGAACTCCATATGACACCCATCCCTGTATCCCCTTTCTCTCTCTCTGTCCAACAAGGGTCCATGTTTGTGGACTAAAATTTAGTGCCTAACTCATCCCAATTCTGTAGCACAAGGATCCTCAAACTTGGCAAGTTTAAGACTTGTGGATTTCAATTCCCAGAATTCCTGAGCTAACATGACTGGAGGAGGAAATCTGGGAGCTGAAATCCACAAGTCTTAAAGCTGTCAAGTCAAGTTAAGGGGCGTGCATAAGCACACAATCGTGCCTACTGTCCCTGTCCTATTGTCCCCAATTATTAGTTCCTATTTCTTGTATTTACACTTATGTTTATTCTTGCGTCTGTTGTATTGTAAGCTTTTGACAAAATAAATAAAATAAATAAATTTAAAAAAAGTTTGAAGACCCCTGCTGTAGCATGTTTTTTATTTTCTTTAAGTTAGTTGGCTTGAACTTTCCCAGCTGATTTCTTTTATCCTGCCTTATTTTTACCAATAACTCAAAGCAACAAACCTATCCAACATGCCTTCCTCCTCCTCCTCCTCCTCCTCCTCCTCTTTTTCTTCTCACAATCACCCTGTGAGGGCTGTTGGGCTGAGAGAGAGAGGGAACGGTCCCTCAGTCACCCAGCTGGCTTAAACAGCTAACAGCTGGTTGTATGTTTTTAAAAATTCACTTTCCCTCAAAAGAGCAAGAAAAAAAGGGGGTTGCAAAGAAGCCAATCTACATGTGCAGAATTCAGTTTTGCTAAAAATAGTTAAAAACTATAAATTGATGTGACAGATGGCCCTTCTATATGAAAAAATAACCCATCACGTACAGATCTAGGAGTGTAAACAAACGTAGCAAAGTCCACAGATCAATGGGGAAGTCATTCATGGTTATGTGCAAATATTTAGTGTCATTTAATTCCCTGTAAAATATTGCAGGGCACAGAGCTAAAGTTTTTCCCATGCTGAAGGAAGGAAACTGATCTTGACAGTGAATTCTTGGAGGCTTGCTACAAGCATAAGGGGCAGCAAGTACTGGCAGAGACATTTGCATCTGGAAACCCAAAAGGGCTTTTTCAAGGGGCAACTGGACTTTCTGGACCAGAGAGTCCAGTTGCCTCTTGAAAAAGCACCTTTGGGACAACCACACCTGGAATACTGCAACCGATTTTGGTCATAGATACTACAAAAAAGATGTTGAGACTTTGGAAAAAGTTCAGAGAAGAGCAACTAAGATGATCAAAGGCCTGGAGACTAAAACATATGAAGAACGACTGCAGGACTTGAGTTTGTGTGATGGAGCGCCCACGATTTCTGAAGGCAACATGTTCCACTGGTTAATTGTCCTCACTATTAGGAAGTTCCTCCTTAATTCCAGGTTCTCTCTTGGATTAGTTTCTAATCATTGTCTCTTGTCCTGCTTTTTGATGCTTTAGAAAATAATTTGACCCCCTCTTCTTTGTGGCAGCCTCTCAAATACTGGAAGACTGCTATTATGTCACCCCAAATTATTTTCCTTAGACTAGCCAAGGCCAAATTCTGCAGCCATTCTTCCTATGTTTTAGTATCCAGACCTTTGAACACCTTAGTTGCTCTTCTCTGAACTTTTTCCAAAGTCTCAACATCTTTTTTTTGTAGTATGGTATTCCAGGTGTCGAAGAGGTTGAAGAGCGGAGAATTCATCCCTCTGATCTTTCTTCCCTTTCAAATCACACCTTCCCTAAATTCACTCCACTGCACAAGTCCTATCTAATATTTCTTCTGCTTATCTAATATTTCTTCTGCCAAATGTTTGGCTTGAGCCATTGGGTCAAATTTTGGAATTTCACAGGCAATTATTTGAATGCCTTGGCTGGGAATAAGTCCCTGCTGAACGCTAGGGGGCACTGGATACCTAAATATTGCCTTGCCAATAGTGGGATAAAATTTAAAGCTACTGTAGTTTTTAATCAATGGTCAGATTGCAATTCTGGTGCCTAAGATCTCTGTTTAAAAGCCTACGGAGAGTTGCCCAATGCCAATCAATAAAAGTTATTTCCCCTGGGCTCTGTGAGTTGTTAAGTGAGTTTTTATGACCTTTCTTGTCACTGTGATTATGAATCACTGAAAATATTAAGTTAGTAACATGGTTATTAAGTAAATCTGGCTTCCCCATTGACTCTGTGTGTCCGAAGGTCGCAAAAACGGATCCCATGACCCCGACACACTGCAACCGCCATAAATACGAGTCAATTGCCATGCATCTGATCACATGACTACAGGAATGGTGCAGTGGTTGCGTGAAAACCAATTGTGAGTCTTTTTTTCCCCAGTGCTGTTGTAACTCTGAATGGTCAGTAAATGAATGGCTATAAGTCAAGGACTGCCTTTACCTTCAGACATCCTAGAAAGTTTGCCTGGTGTCATATACCAATGGTGCAGTACATCGTTTTGCAAAAAAAAAAAAAACCCTACCATAATGTGGATTTAACCACACATTTTCCCACTGATCCATCGGTATATTATAACCAAAGTTTTTAGCTCATTTCATCATACATTTCTTAGGATGTCGTTCTTCCATTTCAAATTTCAGGGAAAGCTTAGACATTTTGGCAATTACATGGCCCCGGATCATGTCCTGCTGGGAGTAGTATCTCTCTCCTAGTCAAGGGTGTAAATAAGCAGCTATCAGTGTGTACAGCACAAAGCAGGAGAAGGAAGGAAGGAGAAACTGGAGGTGGAGTTAAAAGAGGAATCAGCCTAGAATCCTTAAGTTGCTACAAGCGAACTAAGTCCAAATCCCCTTGAATTCCATTGACCCTCATCAAACTCCAAGCCTGGGCCATGTTTTGGTTGAGAAGATTCCTGTTCATAGGTGTTAAGAAAATGAAGATTTAATAGCTGACCAGCTGCTGTAAGGCTGTAAGCCAAGATGATGAACTGAGGATGAGTCAGCAGGGTACTGCCACTTTAAGAAGCTGCTTATATAAGGGAGGTCATGTGAGGGCATCTGTCTCTCCTAGTGTTCTATCCCCATTGTAGTTCTCTGTGTAGAGTTGAAGATTGATTGCTTGCCTGGTGTTTGCCTAACACGTGTATGTATGTATATAGTAGTCTTGCATATAAACCACTGTTAAAGGACAAAACCTCTGTGTCCTGTGTTTTGCTCCTGGGTTGTCTCACAATAATAGTCACGCTGTAAACTCTCTGACAATAGGCATGATTAGCAATTTAATTGGACCTTCATGTGTGGACTTGACATTTCATGCCTGACATTAATCATTTGCTTGTGGCTATGTAGGGATTCTAGACTGACTCCTCTCTTAATTCTACCCCAGGTTCTGCCACTCCTTTGCCTACACACAGGTGTGCAGAACAAAGCGAACAGATTGACCCTAGAGACCTTCTTGTTTGGACTTTTCTCAGATGGATCTCTGCAGGCCAGCTCTTCCTCCAAGAAGCCTTACCTTCAATGATCCCCCACTTGGTCTTGCGACCCAGGACCTTCTTCCCATTCACCTGATGTTCCTTGTCCGCTCCTACGACCGCAAAGGGGATTTTCTCCTAGATTAAGAGAAACAGAAGCAAGGTGAGGAATTCGGTTCTACCACCTTGGTGAAGGAAAAAGTCAGCAGAATTTGAATAGGCATCATGGCTGGTAGACTTAAGAGCACGCAGACAACTCATAAAATATTTCTATGGTCTTTTTAGAGTTGCCAACAGAAAGGGCAGGGGGAGCAGTGCAGCTGTTTGCAAAAGTGCATTCCATAAATGTTTTCAAAGATAGTAACTAGGTGACTGAAGTCTCTGCCGTGCAAAATTCTAACTGGAGAGCATGATTGATGACTCTGGGCTATGGATGTGTCCCATTGGAGAATATGAATTATGATACACCCAGGGGGTGGGGGAAAACCAGAGTCAAGGGTGAAAATGAATGCTGTGTCTCAGAGTTGGCTACACCCAGGCAGTGCCGGCATGTTAACTCCCAATAAATCCTTTTTTAAGTTTTGGAAGTTTGGCTTGAGACTCATGATTTAAATGGCGGGGTAACTGCCAGAATCCTGACAACTTCGACTAAACCGAAACAGACCTTCAGAAGCTGAATACATTGCAATCCTGTTGAGAATCACCAACTGATTAAAGGTAGTCCTCCACTTAAAACATCACTGAGCCCAACATTTCTGTTGCTAAGCGAGACAGTTATCAAGTGAGTTTGGCTCCACGAGCTTTCTTGCCAGAGTTGTTAAGTGGATCACAGCTATGGTTAAGTTAGAAACATGGTTTTTTGAGTGAATCTGGCTTCCCCATTGCTTGTCAGAGGTCGCAAAAGCTGATCACATGACCCTGGGACACTGCAACTGTCATAAGTACATGCCAGTTGCCAATGGTCAAACTTTTCATCACACGATCTTGGGGATGTTGCAACGGTCATCAGTGCGAAGAACGGTCTTAAATTCCTGTGCCATTGTAACTTTGAACAGTCACCCAATAAACTGTTGCAGATCAAGGACTCACCTGTACGATATTGCAAACCAAGCTAAAAGCTGTTGAATTTTCTTACAGTTTCTAGTTTCCACCTCAGTTCAAATCGCAGTTCTCTAGCCAAACTATAATTCCAGATTGCAACACGGGCAATTCCAAACTAACTCAGAACACCTAACAAAAGACAGCTTTAATCCAGATTACCAGGTTTGGCCACTGACTTCGAGAACATTGGGAATAACAGTTAATATAAGCCAAGATCAATACTTAAAACCGGGCAAAGATGTTGAGGTAGGAAGGGAGGAAATACTGTAAAAGCTGTTCTTGAAATGTAGCTTACAGCTTTGGCTGAACCCCAAACTCAGCCAGGAACCCCCCATAACGTCCTCTCAATCCAGGGTGGGGGGGAGCACCACTGACTTACCCTGATTTTGTCATTCAAAAGCCGATCGTCTGGATCATCGTCAAAGTCTACTTGGGGGTAAACATGGATGCCGTGGGCCTTCAGGTCTTTCTGGACCTGCCAAGATAAAATGGTAGTTGTGATGACCTGGGGCATGGCGCAAAGGCAACACAGTCAGATAATCAATAAAAGTCCCTTTATTCGCTCCAACTTTGCCCCCAATGTCCAGGTTACCTTCTGGGCTGGAGAAAAACTCTCCCAGGAGCAGCCTTTGACTACAGAGAATTAAGTCCAAAACATGGTCAACACAAACTGTAACTCTAAGTCCAAACAAACCAAACTGAGGTAATTAGTCTGGCAGGGCAGGAGCAAGAATTCCAGACATGAAGGCACGGCAAAACTCAACATGGTTGGAAAGATGCCAGCAACACAGATAAGCCACGACAACACAGGATAAAGTCATGTTTGTTCCCAGCAGCTGCTGCACGCAGTCTGCCTTTCTTATCAACTGTCTTCCCAGTTGTGGCTAATGAAGGGAATCAGGGCCCTTTCCTCTCCTGTAAGCCACACAACCCATGTTGCTCTCTTCTCCATTCCTCCCAGCATGCCCTAGGATGAAGAGGGGGTGGGCCTGGGTCTTCCTCTGAACTCCCTCTCCCTTGTTCTACCTCTTCCCTGCTCTGCCCAGCTGGACTTTGCCCTTCTCCAGCCTCCTCCACAGCCAACGGAGCCACACTCCCGTTCCCTATCAGCTGTTCATCTTCCTCCTCAGATTCAGACTCTGACAGGGGCATGACACTAGTTATGATCATGACTGGGAGAACATTCCTTTCTTTTATTGAAGGACAACAAGTGATGAACAATCTGCACTTTGGGGTTGGATCAAGAATATCACAACATGGTATAGAAGAGATCTGTTTGGCTTCTACATGATATTCACTGTTGTTGTATGTACACTGAAAGCTCATGCGCCAGAGACAGATTCCTTGTGTGTCTAATCACACTTGGCCAATAAAGAATTCTAATTCTAATTCATTTCAATATCATATAGAAGCAAGATCGATCCCCTCAATATTCTTGCTCAGCCACAAAACTGCAGATTTCTTTTCTTTTTTGTTCCTTGATTTACAGAAATGCTGTAAAACTCTTTTACAGAGTCCAATCAACCATGAAACCTAGAGGAACTTTGTAATTGAACGCTTCTCTGTTTACAAGCAAAAGATCAGAAAGTCATATTCGAGCCCAAACTTTTGCTCGAGATAACTTTTTGGATTTTTCTCACCTTTGAGAAAAGCATCTATTATTTCAGATGGCCAGTTTTATTTTTCGAGACCATGGTAGTATTAAGGCTAGCATTCAAAGTCAGAATGGGAAGTTCTGGGAGCTGAAGTCCACCCTTCTTAAAGTTGTTGAGGCAAAGAAACCCTGGATTAGAATCTTGATTCTGAATTATGGGTTCGGAATCTATATGCCTATCAAAAGCCCTCTCTATTTTATTCCTAACACAATGAAAGTGACTTCTTTTGAGTTTATCATACTTTCTACTTTTCCCAAGACTCACTTTTCTGTAAATGGCAGAAGATGGAAACTAATGAAGGTGAGAACCAACCTAGAACTAAAGATAAATTTCCTGATAGTGAAAACAATCAGTGGAATAGCTTGCCTTCAGAGGTTGTTGGTGCTCCATCAGTGGAGGTTTTTAAGAAGAGACTAGACAGCCATTTGTCTGGAATGGTATAGGGTCTCCTGCTTGAGCAGGGGGCTGGACTAGAAGACCTCCAAGATCCCTTCCAACTGATTATTCTCCCCTTTCACTAGGTCAACCCACCATTCTGTCATTAGAAACCGTCTGCGTTTCTATGCTTACCCTCTGTTCATGCTTACCCTCTGTTTAAACTCTGCCCTTTCCTCAAGGGTCAAGGTGTCCGCTTTGGCGATGACCGGCACCACGTTGGTGATCTTACTGAGACGTCTCATGAACTCCAGGTCCAAGGGGCGGAGCCTGAGGGGAACGAAATGCAAGAAGACCTCTCTCTGTGATATGAACAGAGCTGCTATCCCAATGGAGCCTATTGTGGTTGGAGGATTTCCCCTTCCCTGGAGGAGTTGTCTACCCAACTGCTCAAATGCCAACTTTGGAACAGATCTCAGCTGCTACAGCCATCTTTTTGTTTCTCAGCTTGCCACACAGTATAGGAGGGGAGAGAGGCTGTAACGTCAGACCAGGCAGTAACAATATATCATCCCTTGAGAACCAAGGTCATCTCAATAGGTGCTGGCCAGAGACTGGAAGGAGTTTCCAGAATTGGACAATGTGACCTGTGACAAGAGGGGAGTATCTATTCTTTAATTATACAAAAAACCACGGGAAATTTAGTTAGAGTTGGTTTTGCTTTCATGCGTGCTCAATAAAACAATTCTTTGAGAAAGCTGTCTGCCTTGGAGTGCTGAATTGGTTGGGCTCATCAATCGGAACTTTGACATCAAACACATTTGGTGGTGGATTTCAAAGATCACCTGTCACAGGTATGGTTTGGATTAAGGAAAGCCTTCTCCCTGACCTTTGGTAGGAGTTGTAATCTAAAGACCGTCTAGATAAGATGCTATGACTATTTGTCTTGGCCTGTGGTCTAAAGAAGATAGTTGTACTGTTCCTTTGAGAGTTTCCTGCAAGTTTTGGGTTGTCATTTTGATGGCTGATTGAAAACCAGAATCATAGCTTCTGAGTGGAAAGTGAAAGCAATCTTTAAGATGGGTAGTCTTCAGTACTCTATGCACAGAAATGGAAAGTCACCTCGATTCCCACAATGGATGACTGGCTAGAAAAACTGATGGGAGCTACCAGAGATGGCTAAATTGACTGCTTTGATTAAAGAAAAATACAATACAATACTTTCCTTTCTACTTGAAAACCACTTCTGGACTTTGTGCTCGAGGTAGCAAAAAAAATGAATCTTTGATTTTGAGTTATACCGATTAGATAGATTTGTTGTTATTGAAATGGCTAGTTTCTATTATTAAGAAAAAGTAAAAAGTTGAGGGTAGATCTTAATGCCTTATTTAACTGCAACAAAGGAATTGGAAGTCAATGCCTTTTTCCCCTTGCTTTCCCCCACTATCCACTTCTCTTTTTCCTTTGCTAATTTCCCTAATTTTGCTTTTGTCTTCTCTTTGTATGTCATGTTATAGATTAATAGAATTATTTGAAGACAAGCTGAGTAGTCTTCTCCGTGCTTTATTCTGAATAGAACTTGCCTAACTTTCTATGATCCCCTTTTTGCTTATAATGAGTGGGAGGGATGGACCCTCGCAGCACAGGAGGACTTACCAGTGACCTGTGGGAGGGACAAAATATACACAGGCATGTACACGGGTGTCTGGGATTTTCTGCTTGCGGTTAATCAGGATTTCCTCTTTCAAATAACGCTCATACTGGTCATTGATATATTGAATGATTGGCTCCCAGCTATGAGAAAGGAAGAACAGAGATTCAGCTTCCTGGGCCGTTCTGAGCAAAACTTTCTGCTTATTGCTTAAAGCAAACAAGGAAACAAATAAAGGATGAAGTTCTTTGAGAAAACACCTTCATTGTAAGAACATCAAGCTGTTCTTATTTGAGTGAAACCGCTTTTTAATAGGATAACCAGAAGAAGGGAGTGTCTGTTGCCCCTCAAAATTTCATTTATGTATTTATCCGATTTGTCAATTACTTACAAGGTAATAGGTTTAAGAATAAACATGAGTAAGAATACAGGAAATGGGTACGAATAAATGAGGACAATAGGACAGGGACAGTAGGCACGATTGTGCACGTATGCACACCCCTTATAGACCTCTTAGGAATGGGGTGAGGTCAATAGTGGTTAGTTTAAGGTTAAAGGAGTGGGGGTTAGAGGATGTAACAACAGAGTCAGGTAGTGCATTCCAGGCATTGACCACTCTGTTGCTGAAGTCGTACTTTCTGCAGTCAAGTTTGGAGCGGTTTACATTGAGTTTGTATCTGTTGTGTGCTCTTGTATTGTTGCAGTTGAAGCTGAAGTAGCCATTGACTGTTAGGACATTATTGCAAGTGTTTTTGTGTACTACGCTTAAGTCCAATCGTAGGTGGCGTAGTTCAAGGTTGTCCAAGCCCAAAATTTCAAGCCTGATGGTGAATGTAAGTCTACATCATGGCTGTGATGGAAACAGGCAAATCATGTCATTGGAATCCATCTGTACCCTTGCATATTGAAATGTTGCAATTGACAGAAATTTGCCCTTTATTGGTATGGCTGCCTAACCTTGATCGCTGCTATCTGGAAGTTTTCTTAAATGTCAAATGTTCTGCAATCACCTTTTTTTTTTAATTGTCAAGTTTTGGGCCTTCTCCACAAGCTTACATCCTATGCAATAGTGGCAAATACCTGTACCTTGGGCAAAGGATGAGGGTGAAGGCTCGTTCTGGAAGTTTGTGGGTTGGTTTCCAAATTTTCATTACCAGGCCAGGTAACATCTTCAGCAGAGTTTAGGGGATGTCAATGTCGGTGTTCTTCTGCTTAAAAGGGCTTCATGGGGTCAGCAGGTCTTGTGATGGCTCAGGTGTGAGTGTGTCAAGTGAGGGTCTTGTTAGGGTCTTGTGATGAGGTGGAAACCAGGGGTGGGCTTCAAAAATTTTAGCAACTGTTTCTCTGCCCAGTTGCTGGGTGGGTGTGGCCATGGTGGGCGTGGCCTAGTTGGCCTCCTGCACCACGGTGCGATGGGGATTTTCACCCTCCCCTGGCTCTGGAGGCTTTCCTCAAGCCTCAGGAAGGGTGAAAACAGTCTCCCCCGGAAGCTGGAAATGGGCCTGTTTACGGCCTTCCACAGCCTTCGGGAGGCCTGTTTTTTACCCTTCCCGAGCCTTCACATGGGTCCTGTACTTACCTGGCATCAAAAAGAGGCCACATGGAGACCCCTGGGAGGGGAGGGGAGGGATGGGCAGGGCCACCCAGCAGTGGGATTTACCTGTTCACTGAACCAGCAATTAAACATGATAAAATTAACTACCAGTTCGTCTAAACCAGGGTGAACCGGTCACAACCTACACCTGGAGTAGGTGAGGGTCATTAGGAGGTGAAGTGCTGGTTGGGGGGGCAGTTTGCATGAGTTGGTTGAGGGTCGGTGCTGTCTCTGGTTGGCTGTGCAGTTGATTTGGATTCTGAGCGGCTCGTAGGCTGGTTGTAGGTTGGTGTATTTGTTGCTTGTGGAGTGCCAGGCTTCGGTGAAGTCACGAGTATGGCGGGTGGTACCAGGGCTGATGGTTTTTGTGTTGCTCCAATCAAACTGGTGCTGTTTGGTGCTACCTAGCCTCGTATTGAAACATTCAGAAACCAACCCAGAAGCTCGGAGAATGAGCCATCCTCCTCCCCTTATGTTATATCCAGATATAATGTATCTGGATGTTAAGAGGCACACCATATAAAGTCATACCTCGACTTAACCACCACAGTCGGGGACAGAATTTCCATTGTTAATTTGAGTTGTATCCAATTTCACAAGCTTTTTGCCACGGCTATTAAGTGAATCACTGCAGCCGTTAAGTAAACCCTGTGGTCATTAAGAGAGTCCAGCTTTCCCCCACTGACTTCCCTGTCGGAAGCTGCCTGGGAAAGTCACCAATGGGGATTACCTGTAGCGAGATGCAGCCATAAATACTGATTGCCAAGCACCCAGATTTTGATCGTGGGACCCTAGAGATGCTGTGATGATTGTAAGAGGGAGTCATACACCATTTTTTTCAGTGCCGTTGTAACTTTGCATGGTCACTGAACAAAAATGGTTGTAAGTCAAGGGCTACCTAGAGAGCATTCCATGCAGGACTTATGCAGCCAGATGTGTGCATGGGGCATAGTAATAAAAGTTGAGAGTGTAACTGCAAAGGAGCCCTCAAATTGTGGTCTATTTTGCACAGGCTTCAACAGCCATGTTGTGGCTGCCATCTTGATTTCTGGCCTGCACCCAGTGGTGAGATTCAAATAATTTTACAACTGGTTCTCTGCCCTAATGATTTCTTCCAACAACCAGTTTGCCAAACTACTCAGAAAGTTAACAACCGAACTGGTGCAAACTGGCTGAACCCCAACACTGCCTGCACCATCAGATAACCTAAGGCCAGCAACCCCAGCCTTGGTGCTAAATCGATTAGATCCATTTTAAAGATTCTCCTGATCCTGTGCAGTGAAGTGACCCCTCTCTAGTTAAGCCACTCTTCTAGGAGGGTGGTCTTTAAAAGGGGACATATACATTGAATGGATATTGAACAGAGGAATGGCATTCTATACCCTACAATGTACATCTCTGCATTTGCGGAGCGGCAGAGGTAGAAGACCTGGCCCACATCCTATTTGATGGTTGCCTGCATAAGGGAGTGAGAGACAGGTGTACCTCGGTCTCTATACCAAACAAATGACCCATTGGGATCCCCGTGTCAAAAGAACTTGCCTTATGTGCAGCCAGAATCTGAAAATAACATTTAACACGGCACAGTACTTGAGCAAAATGGTTTGGTTGAGACTGACTTATGTGGGGCTGATTGGGATGGATTGTAGGGGTGACACCAACATATAATTTTGTCATATTTTATCTAACTCTTATATGATTCTATTTTATCCCAATTCCATTTTAAATGGCTTTTATCACATTTTAGTAATAATTTGTGTCTGGGAACTCTGCTCTTTGATATGGCCCAAGTGCTAATCAATAAAATTCATGAAATGAATAGAGGAATTCAATGCCAGATCTTCCCTGTGAGATGCTAGTGGTCCGTCCCCCTTCATACCAGTTTTGATTGTTAATCTGGTCTCCAAATCCTGGGGTGTCTGTGACCGTCAGCTTCATCTTCACTCCTTTTTCTTCAACAACTGTCAGAAGAAGAGGACATTTGGTTAGGTCACGTTTCTGAATCCACACTCAGACTCACCTGCTTCCTTCTTGCTTTTCAACTGAGGGGGTGGGAAATATTCTCATACCACCCTAAAAATGAAACAAGCTCCATCTCAGTTGATGTTCCAGAAGTCCCTTAGCAGACTTGAAGTCCCAGCAGGGAACCATGGACATCTCCAGGTGGCTCCTCTATTGATATATTTCTTCTCTCCAGACCTGTGGTTTGTATAGTTTTCTTTGTAATCTATTTTTAGTTTTAAGCAACAATTCTTTTAGATTTATATAATGATTGCATTTGTATGAGGGTTGTTTTTATTTGATTGTTGTAGGCCATTCAGAGTCCCTTCTTGTGAG